GAGTATCTCCTGTTGCTAGATATTTTATTAACATCATTTATTTTTTATAGGAGCCCTTTATGGGACCTGTTTTAAATATCCATTTCATTAATGAGGAAATTGAAGTCTCGAGGAGATGAGTGCATTTCCCAATGCTGTGTAGCTTGTGAGAATTTCATTATGAGTTTCTCTTCCACTCTTTCCCCACTGTACAGTGCTGATTACTTGGCAGGACTTCTGTTGACTAGCTGGGTGACCATAAGCTCAGAATGGATGCCACAAACACAGCTATTTACACTTAAATTAACATGAAGTTAGAGAGAAATTCATCTCCTTAGTTGTGCTGAACTCAGGCTAGTGCTTCATACCCACCTACAAGTGTGTACCGTATTAGAGGATGCAAATGTGAACTGTCCCTGGTCTCATCCATCAGAGAGTCCCACTGGTTGGAAGGGCTTTTTTTAGAGTTTTAGATTAACTCTTAATTTCAGCTACCTATATTTAGAAACAAAGATTTTAGTGCAGTGCTTGCCCTGAGAAATCAAGATTCCTTAACCCTTAGGATTTTGCCGCAGGACTAAGTGTAAATAATGTCTGCCTCACTCTGTGGCCCTGGCAAAAGGGATTCTCATGCCTCTCTCTCTGCTGGTCTGAGGAAAGCTCCAGGGCTGCACGAGGAGCAGACAGGAAGTAGGTTTATGGAAGGGAGGGCAGTAGTGGCTGCTTGCTCACAGGAACACAGTTTTAATTGGGCTTTCCTGAACGCTTCTTGGAAAAGATTTTCGTGCCTCAGTTTCCTTTCTCAAGTTTCTCTTAAAATCATCTCTGCTTTTGAACTGTGTATTTTCTGATATGACATCTTTTCTTTTTATGCATATAAGCTCCCTCATGTGTTCCTTTTCATACAGTAACTTGCCGTCTCTCTCTCCTGTGTCACTTCTCCGGTTCTGCTCAGTCTTTCTATGTTTTGTTGAAAAATAATGTTTTAGTTATAAGATGAAGTGTCAAGGGTATAATAAGATCTCAGTTCATAGATATCAGCACACTCCTGCATGGCTGACTATAGTAAGTGTCTTGACCCAAAGTAAACATGGCTGACTATCAGCTAAACTTTTAAGACTTTCAGAGGAAAGTGTGTGTGTGTGTGTGTGTGTGTGTGTGTGTGTGTGTGTGGAGGGGCTCAAGTTTTCACTTTACGTGTTAAAATAATTTCTTTGAAATAGCTAGATATGCAAACAACTTTTAAGAAAAGCCAGGAAAAGATATTTGCGAATAGCGATAAAAACATTTGAAAATCATTTTATGTATGTATGTATGTATGTATGTATGTATGTATGTATGTATGTATGTATGTATGTATGTATCTTTGTATGTATGTATCTTTGTATGTGTGTTTGTATTTTGGGGGACGTGTACCACATATTCGTTCATGTTTGGATTCATTCGCTCCACTGTATGGTCCCTGGGGTCAAGTGAATATTGTCACACTCAGCTAGCAGACATGTCTTTACCTGTCTCAGTGGCCCATGTTGACAGATATTTTTTTACAGGTCACTTATATTTAGTGTTTTTATTCCCGGTTAGGCTGTCACTCTGAACGAAAGAATAGACCTTGGATGTACTCATCTGATCTACTGTTTCACAACTAGAGGTCAGTGTTAACATACCTACCTGATTAAATGTCTCAGGTGCAAGTATGAGGTCATTCAAGTATTTACTCAACCTTTATGAGGGCCAGATCAGAAAGTACATGATAAAGGAAGACAATTATTTCAGCATGAATTGCTCAATCCTGCATTTGAATTTGGAAACTATTGGTCTTTTTTCCCACTTAGTAACTTTGCATGAAAGTGTATTTATTAGGTGCTGTAGAGAATGAACCTGCACCTTTTTCTACCAGCTAAGTTTTCCCCTACAGTGTCTCCGAAGCAGCAATCAGAAAAAGAGAGAACATTATTGCTATTGCATTATAAACTTTAGTCCTCAGAAATGGTAACATGGAGTCCTCATCATTTCCATGTAGATTCAACCAGACAACCCTTACAACAGTGTGCACTGTGTTTCTCTGACAGGAATGTCTCACCTTAAAAAAAAAAAAATCTGTGCTTCCTGTTAATAAATATGAAATCCAGAATAGTAACTGAAACATCACAAACAAAACCCAGGCACAGCATTGTGAAAGGCTAGAAAGCACATCCCTCCTAATATTTCCAAAATGCTGCTGGGTTCCTTTCCCAGTTCTTGCTTCTTTGAGAATTACTCTTGGGTCTCAAGTGAGAGAGTTCACATGCGCAAATTTCTAGATCATCCTCTACACCTTAACATCGTCAACTTTGCATTTTCAAAACTTGTCTTTCCCAAGCACTCAAAGGTTTTTGTTTTTTGTTTTCCCTTGTTAGTTATGAGTTTAATTTCTCTTTAGAAGCATACTCATACCCAAACGTTATTTTAAAAATCAAGTTAGTGCCAGTAATGTCTTAGTACAGGATGAGCATCCTGATCCAAACAGCAAACAGTAAAATGCTCTAAAAGCAAAGATTTTTAGGTATTGGCTTGACACAGCAAGTGGAAAATTCCACCCCTGGTCTCATATACTTGGTTGGAGTAAAAGATAGACAGAAAACAAACATTTTCTATAAAATTGGAGCCACCAAGATATTTTAGCAGTGGTTCAGTGAGTAAAGGCTTAAGCATAAACAAACAAACAAACAAACAAATAAATAAATAAATTGAAATTAAAATGATGCCTAGGCTATGTGTACAGCACATATAGGAAACAAAAGAATTTTTTTGTTTATACTTGGGTCCTAGCCTCACTATCTTACAATATGCATATATTCCAAATCTGAAACTGGGTTTCAGGTACTCTGCCTGTGTATGTGTGTGTTTGTTTTTCCCTAATGGAAATAACTTTTTTGGAAGTGCAATAGGTTCTAATTTTATAACAGTTTAAAATCTGTGCTTCAGTCCATGAGAACAGTGCATTTGTTTATTGACTCTAAAGCTCCATTCTTTTCTGAGAATTACTTTTCAGTTCATTAGGTTTTGGATCTCCACATGAAACACTCATTTGGCAGTTGCTCTTTGTCAGGCTTTATGTCCTCCAGGCATATAATACAAGAACATAAAATTAATTATTGACTATGATATAGATTCAGCACATGATTAGATTTTCAGTCAACCTGAAAAAAGATGAAAGTCATGTTAACCACCTCCAGGCCATCTCCCTGTTTCTGTGGAGAACAGCAATCAGCCTGTACCATAAAGACTGTAATTCACCATAGTTAGCAAAGCTGAATTCGGAGGTTTCAGAGTGATTAGTGACTTGAATTAGTAAGTTTAAGTTTCGTGATTTTTTTTTAAATTAATGTTTGTATACCTTTTGGCTTAGAAGTCTTTTTGCTTTATGGTTTGAGGTGTTCCATGCTTTTTAACAAAGATATAATTTATAACCTCAAATATAGTCTGAGTTAAGAAACTAGTTATTAAGTTTAAATTCGGCTTGAGGCAGCTCCCTGTGGTATTAGTGTAGTGCCACGTGTAAGGCACGGTGTCCTTTTCCACAGGAAGGCTGTACCTGGGGGATCGCTGAGTGTTTGGGCCTACCATACAGGGAGGATTTACCTGGAGACATTTAAGTCCCTGTTTTTGCTTGAACCTATCTTTTTTAGGACTTAGGGTAAGGTTAGAGTGGCTTTCTGAGCATGTGAGTCTTTCTCTGCTTTTGCTCAGTGATCTGTGCAGGTGCCTGCTTTGTGAGTTCTAGCTCCTTATGCCCCAAATTTCCTTCTTTTTATACGTCTGGACCAAGGAAAGCTGGTCATTAATTAACAAATGGCTGCTAAAGAGAAAGTGTGATCTCACTGTGTTAACCAATTATTCCCTTAAGTTTCAGATGCTTTTATGTTTAAAATTCCCCATGTTTTCTTCTGATTTTGAACAAGGTCTATGCATAATTGATTTTGTACATGTTTTGATGTAATAGGGTAGTAATTATGAGGTATAGCAACAGCCGCGCTTGTAGAATTCAAACTTTCATTGCAACCCCCAAATATGGTACAGTTCTTTGAGTCTGGAGCAAGGTGTACCTTCAGTAATGTGCATCTCTTCCTCTCTGGGCTCCTCTGCTCTCTCGGACAGTGTTTAGTCTCTGAAGCTTTTACATTTGGACACCAATGAATTTACCTCATTTAAAAATTAAACTCTAAGCAGGCTGATCCCCTTGTGTGTAAATTATATCTCTCTGAAACTGTTATTACAAAATAAACTTATACCGAAAACATTTGCAAGCCAGCCATGGTGGAGAGGCAGAGGCAGGCAGATCTCTGTGAGTTTGAGGTTAGCCTGGTCTACAAAGCATGTCCAGGACAGTCAAGGCTACACAGAGAAACCCTGTCTCCAAATAACAAAAGCAAACAAACAAAACTTTTCAGTGGTTTTGTAATGAGCTCGTTCTTTCTCTCTCTCTTTCTGTCTTCACATTCTTAAAAAAATAATTAATTAATTAATTTACTTTACATCCTAGCTCCCTCCCTCTTCTCCCAGTCCCCCATCCTTCTTTTCCCCTATCCCCTCCCCTACCCCTGTGAAAAGGGGCGCCCCATTACCACTAAGCCTTCAAAGCACATCAAGGATCGGGACTGAGAACACACGGTAATTTGTTTTATAAAATTCTGAATAATAGGGCTTTTAGAGTGTATTATACCTTCCTGTTTTTTATTTAACTTGGAAAACTGTTTTGCACAAGCATGTAGCTTAATGAGAAAGGAAAGCTATCTCCTATGAGAACCTAAAGGTGCAGTTTTATTCTTAGGTCCTAGAGTGCTGCCAGAGAGATGAACTGGAGGTAGTACTGAAAAACTCTTCTTCATGCTGCTTCCTTCTTGCCTGGTTCTTCATTATGGTCTGAGACCAAGCTGGGCAGCTGAGGCAGAGAGCCAGGGCACCGCTGCATCCTGCTTTGTCAGCTTTTCTTGATGATGGGCTGATATTGAAGACCTCTGCTCCATTTGTCATTACAGAAAGTTGTATCCCTGCACATGTGGTGGCTGCTATCGATGTGAATACTGTTGCTAATGAAGTATACAAGCACAATTTCCCTCACACGCTCTTACTGGCAAAGACAATTGAAGTAAGTATGTATTATTATTTCAGTACATATGTGTGCTGAAAGTGCATATTTCTAATAATTCCTAAATACTGGTTTCTGATGGCTTAACTGGAAAATAAATCATGAAAACAATTGTGTAGGGAAGAGGGATTCGTTTTTAAATTCTGTCAGAAGAGAGAGTAAGTTGTTAAAAAAACATGGAGCACTTCCCCTTTTCAGAGAAGGGGAGGGAGATGGGGAGAGGGGGGAGGCAGCTGCCATCAGGCTATAAAGTGATTAGATAAAGTAATTAATGAAAAAATTTCACTTAAAGAGTGAGGTCAATATTTGGTCTCTGAAAGAAAAGATTGACAAGTTGAGAATACGCTTAACTTCCGGAAGCTTGGTTCTGTGGTGATAGTAAGTTTAGTGGTTCACAGTTAACAGTTATACGGTACTTATAGCACATGGTAACAGTAAGGAAGGGCTCATTACCTGTTACTTCTTGAATGCTCAATAACAAAGTCATCAGAGTTAATGCATTTCACCTATCATGGACTCAGTTTTAAAAGGATATAAGCATAGATGGCAAGTACAAAATGAACTCAGTTATATTTTTTAAAGATTTATTTAAATTACATATGTGGATGTTTTATCTGCATGCACATCTCTCTGTACACGAAAGGAGATCATCTGATCCCATGAGATTACAGTGATAGATGGTTGTGAGCCACCATGTGGGTGCTGAGAATTAAATTCAGGATCTCTGAAAGAGCAGCTAGTGCTTTTAACCAACTGCTGAGCCATCTCTCCAGTCCAACCCAATCTTATTGTTGGTGGTTTTGGTGATTTTATCTTATACTGATTTTTTTTTTAACCTTGCTTGTCTTCTGATTACCTACTATGGTTCCCGATTTTTGTTTGATGGGTTTTGTGTGTATGTGTATATCTGTATTTCTTGTACCTTTCTTTTCTTTTTACTCTGTTTGTTCTTGTTTTTTAAAAGCTTTTATTATTGGCCCGTTTGCTTTTGTCTCTCTCTGTCTCTGTCTCTCTCTCACTTTTTAGATTTTTTAAGACGGTTTCTCTGCGTAGCTTTTGCAGGTTTTGAGCATGCTGTCTCCACTGCTGTGAGTTCATATGTACAACTGCCCTGTTGTGTCTAGAAAATATTGTTTCATTGTAGTCATCCACTGCCTGGCTCTTTCAACCTTATGCCCCCTCCTACAAGATGACCCCTGGCCCTTGGGAGAGAGAGAGACAGATAGAGAGAAGGAGAGAAAGACAGAGACACACAGACTGACAGAGACAGACAACTTCGGATTCCCATTTAAGGCTGAGCCCTGCACAGTCCCTTATGCTCTGCTCCTTGACTGGTTATTAGTCTCTGTTAATCTCCATCTTCTGCAAAAAGAAGCTCCTCTGATGATGCTTGAGAAATGCACTAATATGGGTGTAACAATAAGTCACCAGGAGTCAGATTAGTCCTGTGCCAACTTAGCAAAGTACTAGTAGCAGGTTCTCACCTAAGGCCCACGACCTGTCTGGCTACAGAAATTTAGACTTGATTACAGTGCCAGGTGTGACAATAACTAATAACAGTGCATTTCATAAGCACCATGGCCAGCCAGAATCAGTATAGCCTTCTCATGAAGGTAGCAGTATAAATATATTCAAGTAAGAATACCCCAAATACATAATTCTCAATTGACTCAACCCACAAATTTAGGTGCACTTGGGCTCCATAATTTCTGTAAAATTGCAAATAGCATCGCTGGATTTTTTATTAAAGTTTTATCTTAAATTTGAATTTAATGTAAATATTTAACCAAATACAACCCAAATCAATAAATTCTCAATATAATCCCCACTGAATGTTTTAGATCCAACCTAAATTCAATATCCTATCTGTCCTACTCCCTAAGAGAAATGGTGAGAAACTATATGTATTTGGACCAATTGAAATTCCTCAGATGTATGCCAATAGAAATTTGAGGGATTCAAACTTTATTTATATTTCTTGCTAGTTTTAATAGACAATGGTAAACCATAATATCTGCATACTCTATAAAATTACTGGAAACAAGGAAGGGGCTGGAGAGGCACTTCCAACTCACTTACAGGAGGGTCAGTTCCTTAAAGCATATGTTTGTAAGGGGAAGGAAGACTGTTTTATAGCACAGTCAAGAAATACGAATTATATATACTTACGGTATCTGATTTTTATGTAGTCACATATGTATGCTGCAACATGGTTAAACTGAGCATGTTTTTCCCCCTACATTCATACTGTGTATGGGACTTTTGGGCCGTTTCAGGTACAAAGTCCATTACCATGTGTACTAGATCACCCAAACTCACTCCTGAGCCTTACCTGAAGTGTGGTACTGTTTGACTGTTACTTTTCAAACAGTTCTTTGCCTCTGTAAGTTTGACCTTTTCAGTTAACATATGCAGATGAGGTCATAAAGTATCAGCCAGGACCTAACTTACGAGAAAACACTGATTCACCTTGTGTCCCATGTGTCAGAACAAAGGTGGAGGCCATCTCCTTGCTTAGGGAGCCATGGCCTGAGGACAGGATGAGGGGGAGGCCAAGGAGAAGAAAAGTATGCTTGGTACTCAAATAGAGTGGGGAAGATTGTTGTTCGGTCTCCTCCTCCAGTCTTTCTAGCAGGCAGTAGCAGGTGACTTCTGATAGCCAAAGAGTGCAGTTGAACAAATGGGTTTATTTGGGATGAATGGAGACTATGGGACTAGGAAGATAACTGCTAAGAGCTTGATTGTCCAGGGCAGCCAGACCTTGACTGCAGCTCCCTTCAGAGACTGGGAGTCAGTCCTGGCTGGGTAGCAGGTCTGCTTTGAAGAAGGCAGCTTTCTCCAGAAAGCGTGCCAGAGAAGTCTTTGTAATCATCTGTGGTCAGGCTGAGACATCACACATAGGTTCATAACCAGTGGCAGAACTCCTGAGTAAAAAAGCTATAGAGAAAGCCAAAGTACTCAGTTATTTATCTAGCTAGCAAGTGGGAAGTCACTAGCGACTAGTATGTAAGTGTCGCAAGCAGACACTTCTGTGAGCTTGTTCACTGTTGTATGCAGCAATGGCTGCCGTGCAAATGGTACAGTTGCTTAATAAACATATTGTACTTACAGAGAAATAGCAGGAAAATGCTGATACAGGATGAAAGGGGCGGAGCCACCCAAAGCTGACATTGGATAAATGATTTCAAGATAAAAAAATTATAATGGAACTTGGTATAGTCCTTAGGAAAAATCCAATTGCTGTAAGTATAGATACATAAAAATACTTACACAGGACAGGGTAGGATAAGAACTAGCCAGCTGTAAGGTTTCATTGTTTCTCAGTTATATGCTACAAGATAGGCAAACCATTATTTTACGAGTATAGACTCCATAGTTATATGTAAATCATGAACAGATTGATCAGAAGCACATCTGAAGGATGCTCGCAGTGTGACCAAAGTGGCCTTCTTCCACAATGCACTAATGCCAAAAATGAGGATTTTTTTTTTTGCTATTATTTAATGCGCTCATTCTTGAAAAGAAGAAAACTGTGTCTGAAAGCATTCATAAAATTCAGTTCTTTTTATTGAACATTTTAGTCTCTTGCAATAAAATTTTACAAAATGAGTACTTCCTCAAGATTCATGTGTTATTTCCCGGAGTTATGTTTGTCACTGACTAAATTCAGCAGAGAAAACCGACTCATTCCCAGGTTCACTCACTCTTCCTAGAGTACAGAGCATAGCATTTCCTGCTCTATCAAACGCTCAAACTTGCTAGAGATCTGCTATGATAATTATAGAGGTAGTTATGCTGGTCTACTCTTTCTACATTGTGGGCCAAGAGTGCTTAATGGGAATTGCCAAGTCCCTGACATGTTTCTCAATGTTTATCTTCTGATCTATGTATACACATAAATGTGTTTTTGTATGATTACATAAATGAACAAGTTTGGTGTCATTTAAATTAGTCTTGTCTGTAATCATTTGAAGTTACTGTGCCAAGAACAAAACAATAAAATAGTTGCTGATATCTGAACACAAGGCCTGTTAATTTGCTAGTGTACTGACAGAGAACACTAGACTGGCAGCTCTTCATTGCATCACCACACTCAGGAAACAGAAGCATTTTCATAGATAGGTACTTAAAGATGTGGTTAAATACAAGATTAAAGTTCCTCATGGTTGAGGCCAAACCCAGCACTGTTATGCCTGAGACCTCACAGAGGCACAAATGTGGAGGAAGCCAGTGTCCCTTCCTCACAAGATGGCTTTGGGAAGTCGGTGTAACTGAGGCTGCCTTGTGGAGCACTGTCGCTTAAACCTGTGATTTCTGACATCTTTACTTCTAATTGTTTAGCATTATTCTCTTCATCCTATCCATTTTTTCTTTCAAATGTTCATTCCTTAGGGCATTTCACTGGAAGAGTTGGACAAGCTATCCTTCAATATGATTTTAATGAGCCCTCCGTGTCAGCCATTCACAAGGTTTGTATCATATTTTTTTTTTTTTTTTCTCTTAAGGAAGAGTATGTGTGGGCTAAGAATATAGATCAGTGGTAAATGCTTGCATTCATGAGGCCCTGGTTGTAAATGATGACACACACCTCACCCCAAATAAGAAAAGAAAGGGGAAAGAAGAGTACAGAAGGGAGAAGAGAAGAATGAAGAACTTTGAGGGCCTTAAGCTGAACTCTCATAACTTTAAAATACTTTGTAAATGTATCCCTCAATTTTCTCATGTTTATAATTCAGCATCAAGCATAGGAATTGATAGTTACAGTCAGAAGATCAAAATAATTTAATTAATAGTAAATATGTAATAATATGTTATAGTTACATCTAAGGTACATTTATTTTTATTTCAAATTACCTTAATTCCTTTAAACCATTTAGTCTCAAGTATTCAGAACTAATTCTGATTAGTGAAACAGAATTTCCTTAAGAAATATTTTCTTTGTAAATTACATATATAAAAAATTAAAAGCTGGCTTACTATATATGTGCAAATTATGTATTTCTCAAAATTAATATTATAATTTAGATTTATAGCTACATTGTAATTTCTCATTTCAAATTTATATGGTAATTTTCAACGATGTCTCTCAAGGAATGTTTTTCTTAAATCTAGTTCATTTTCTTTATTTAATAAAATAAATTATTTTAAGTGGCCACAGTAATAGGGTCTTATTATTATTTTGGAGGCGAGAAGCTGAGGCATAGAAAGGGTTAACTTTCCTGTGACTATAGTTAGACAATGTCAGAACCATTATTTGTTAATCATTTTTATATTTTGTGCTAATATGACTAACTGGAGTGTTATGTAATAAATATTCTGATTCAAGTGAATATTCTTGTGCTACATAGGTCTTAACATCTTTGAACTTGAGGACGCCCATCTCCCTGAGGGTTTCTTGTGCCCGTATGTCATACTATGGGCTTGCCACTGCTGTTTCTAATCTTCAGACTTTATAATTGAAAGAAATGACTCATAAATTAGTGTTATATAAATTGTGGCATCTGGTACTGTGAGAACTCTGAAAGTACCATGAGAACATAGAGGAAAAGATGGTGTGTATCATGCCGAGAGAGGGGAGTTCTTCCAGAGGCATGGTCAGAGCTGTTTAAAGCAGAATAGGACTTTATCCGAGATGGCAGAGAACATTCCATACAAAGGTGGCTTTAAGCATATGGCAGAGTGTGGCCTAGAATGTACAGAACAGAATACTGCCTGAGCTTATGTACTTACTGCAATGGGCCCAGTGTCTTCTCTGCTGCCATCCTTCCTGTATATTGGCCTAATTCTAGCTGCTGATGTCGGCACTAACTGATTCTGTAGTTGTTATCTGAACTCAGGGTGGAAAGGGACCAAATATAAAAACTGATGATTTCTGAGGAATCTGGTTAAGTCCAGTTTGATCCCCAGATATACCTCAGACCCACTGATAGATTTAGCCTTGGTGTTAGGTATGGGTAAAGTGACAGAGATGTCACATAGGTTAGAACCATGAGCTACTAAGTACTGAAATTTAAGCCCTGATCCTTCTTCTTGTTATTCACACCCAATCCAAGTATTCCTTTCTACTTGAACCTTGACCATACTGTGAACCTTTGTACGATTTGTTTGATAGCCTGGTACCACCTGTTTATATGAGATGACCCTAGTTTGTCTACGTAAGCTTCAACTTCGGCTTGTAAATTAAAACCCTGAGATCAAGGGTCTATTTACACCTGACAAGATTATCTCAGTATTCTTCATTGTTTGGCTGCTTCAATGGTGGTTATCGCCAGCTCCGTCTGTTCCAGATTATGACCTCCCCAACCAGCTTGTTTTTCTTTCTTTTCAATTTTGTTTCATATGGTGAAGATCAACTTATTTAAATTCTCTTAGCTGACTAAGTCTTTCTGATTTCATTACATAAAGTTTTTGATAAACTTTTTTGTGTTTTCTTTGCATTTTAGGATTGGCCTTCAGGGCGATATGACTGATCCAAGGACAAATAGCTTTTTGTATATTCTAGATATTCTCCCAAGGTAAAAATTTAGATTCTTAGGATGTACCTTACATTTAAAACTATGGGTATAAAAGGATGTAACGTTTGCCATTTTGTAGAGATTAGCAGTTGTCACATGCACCCCTCTTTTGCCACAACTAATAAAATAACAGCAAATGTTTCATGATTTCATGCTTTTCTCCTTAGTGACTGACAGAGCTTTCGGAATGCCTCTGCTCATTCACAGTAGTCATGCAGCTGTATCCAGTGCTAGTGAATGCTGTCACCATGGCTGGATGGAAGTCAGTGCTGGTGAACACTGTCACCATGGCTGAATGGAAGTCAGTGCTGGTGAACACTGTCACCATGGCTGAATGGAAGTCAGTTCTGGTGAATGCTACCTACCACTATGGCTGAATGGCAGCCAGTGTTAGGGAATGCTGCCACCATGGCTGAATGGCAGCTCTTTGAGCTTTGCAATGCAGAAGCCCTGTGAAAGTCTGTAGTTTGAAATGGGCTTCAGTGGAAGTTAACTTCGGCTGTGAGCTTTTTCAACATACCATGTCTTGAGAAAAATGGATAAATTAGAGTTAAAATTCTTCTTTTTAAAAAATCTAGAAAGTTGCTTAAACCCCATTTCTCACAAGTTCTGATTTTCTTTTTATGTCATTGTAATTCAATATTTGTATTTCTGTTTGTTTTGGTTTTAGATTACAAAAATTACCCAAGTATATTCTTTTAGAAAATGTGAAAGGTTTTGAAGTATCTTCGACAAGGTAAAAATATATATTTATCTTGCTGTATTTTATCGTAGGTACTGTTGTGAGATAAAGATATGAATAATAACTGTATATTCTGATGTTTTGTAAAATATGTTTTATTAAAACATATTTAGTAAAATTTTTACCAATAATATAAAAACATTACATTTTGTTCTGTTCTCATTTTGATTTTCCAGAGTGAATATTGATTTTTGTATTATTTACAAGTATAACTATTTCATGAAGAGCAGCCTCATGATGAACACTTAGTACTTTACAGTTAAATGGGAGAGGTGGCCCAGGGGCAGGGTTCCCTCATGTACAGCCTATGTGGAAAGAAGGCATCTAGCCGAGTCCTTGATTCACCTGTTGCTCATAACTGTTTCCCTCCGATTTGCCCAGTGAAATTGTAGTTTCAGTTCCCAGAGCCATTTTTCTTTTATTTTTAAAACAGTTTAATAATAATTTTATGCTAGAATATTATTCAAAATCAACAACACAGTTCATGCAGGGAATATTTCTGTTACTAAATACTATGCCACCCACTTTGTAATATGCTGTTTTAAATTTTTTTATTAATTACAGTTTATTCACTTTGTATCCCCCTGTAGTTCTCTCCTCCTCTCCTCCCAAACCTATCTTCCCTCCCTTTTCTCCACCCATACCCCTCCCCCAGTCTACTGATAGGGGAGTTCTTCCTCTCCTTCCTTCTGATCCTAGTCTATCAGGTCTCATCAGGAATGGCTGCATTGTCTTCCTTTGTGGCCTGGTAAGGCTGCTCCCCCATCAGGGGGAGGTGATCAAAGAACAGGCCAATCATGTCAGAGACAGTCCCTGTTCCGATTACTATGGAACCCACTTGGAGACTGAACTGCCATGGGCTACATCTGTGCAGGGGTTCTAGGTATCGAATGGCAGAGAAACACTTAAAGAAATGTTCAATGTCCTTAGTCATCAGGGAAATGCAAATCAAAACGACCCTGAGATTTCACCTTACACCCATCAGAATGGCTAAGATCAAAAACTCAAGTACAACACATGCTGGAGAGGATGTGGAGAAAGGGGAACCCTCCTGTACTGCTAGTGGGAATGTAAACTTGTACAACCACTTTGGAAATCAATTTGGCGCTTTCTCAGACAATGAAGAATAGTGCTACCTCAAGAGCCAGCTATACCACTCCAAGGCATATATCCAAAAGATGCTCAAGTATACAACAAGGACATTTGCTCAGCCATGTTTGTAGCAGCTTTATTTGTAATAGCCAGAAGCTGAAAACAACCCAGATGTCCCTCAGTTGAGGAATGGACACAGAAATTGTGGTACATCTACACAATGGACTATTACTCAGCAATAAAAAAAACAAAGAAATCATGAAATTTTCAGGCAAATGGATGGAACCTGGAAAAGATCATCCTGAGTGAGGTATCCCAGAAGCAGAAAGACACACAGGGTATATACTCACTCATAAGTGGATATTAGACATATAATATAGAATAAACATACTAACATCTGTACATCTAAAGAAACTAATCAAGAATGAGGACTCTGGCTAGGATGCTCAATCCCCATTCAGAAAGGCAAAGAGGATGGACATTGGAAGAGGGAGAAAACAGGGAACAGGACAGGAGCCTACCATAGAGGGCCTCTGAAAGGCTCCACCCTGCAGGGTATCAAAGCAGATACTGAGACTTAGAGCCAAACTTTGGGCAGAGTGCAGGGGATCTTATGAAAGAAGTGGGAATTAGTAAGACCTGGAGAGGACAGGAGCTCCACAAGGAGAGCAACAGAACCAGAAAATCTGGGCACAGGGGTCTTTTTTTGAGATTGATACTCCAACCAAGGACCATTTGTGGAGATAACCCAGAACCATTTAATTACCCAGTTCAGCTTTCATCACTTGATCACATTGTCTGGCAGCTCTATATACTGTGCTAGAGATTCCTCTATTACCATTTTATTAAAATGCAATTCCTCAAGTAATGACTTGGGAGCCTTGTCTCTAAATGGCTTGAATAAAGGTGGGCTTTTACTGACATTGAAGACTTGTTTGCTCTTTTATAAGAATGTACTTTCTAAGCAGTAGCTGGATGATTTTCTCTTTGACTCTTTTCTTTCTAGAGGGCTGCTAATAAAAACTTTAGAAGCCTGTGGCTTTCAGTATCAAGAGTTTCTATTATCTCCTTACTCTGTAAGTACTGCAATTCAAACCTTTATATAAGTGATCACTTAAGGGAATTTGATGTAATAAACAAAATAGATCTATTTTTAATGTTTCACATTAGTGTTAAATTAGCTCAGACAAGAATCTTACTTTCTGAAGAACATGGTGCATGCCTGTACATAAAATAGGTTCATCAGATCTTATGTATTTTTATTTTTGAAAAATAAATGATTGTAGCTTTTGAAAATAAATGGAGTTTTACATGTCTAAATCATGTGTCTTACATCTAGTAAGACACATGCTGTAAGTAATGCAAGATTGAAAACAAAGTAGACACACTATTTATAATTTCTTTTTGTTGTATGACATTAGGATGCAATCATTGCTTTCATTTTATGTAAGAAATTGAAGAACTTGTTTCTTGAAATTTTGATTGTATTAAAATTGAAGTTTGATTGTATTAAGTATTGTATTTGCAATTGTTCTTTTTAGTTTCTTATCATTAGTCGTATTATATAGTTCTTTGTTCACAAATGCTAAAATCTAGTTTAAAAATTTAATGTGTAAGTTGGCAGTGTAAGTGATCTCTTTAACTTTATTTTACATCATTGCCTCTTCTACAGTATAGTAACTCCTACTGTTGAAAAGTAAAAGTAATAACAAATAAAAATGTCTATATTTCTTCTTATTTGGATACATGGATATATGCTTTGTCAGGAATAATCTTTATTCAACTAAAGGCACAGAACAACAATTTAACTGGCTTAGATTCTTCTGTAAGAAAGTCTTCCAAAAATCAGTAGCAACATTTGCTTTGGCAGAAACTAGGTGTATGTCTGTCTGAGTCTGTATGCCAGGTGCTGAATGAAGTTGGTTCAGATTTCATATGGTAACTATCCCTTCTGTTTTGCTTGCAGCTTGGCATTCCAAACTCAAGGCTACGGTATTTTCTCATCGCAAAGCTTCAGTCAGAGCCTTTACCTTTTCAAGTCCCTGGTCAGGTATTGTTGTTGCTACTAATATTACTGTTTACCTCAGTTTTCCAGTTTCTTCTCAGTAACTGCTTAGGGCTTCTGTGCCTATTGAGTTTATAATGCAGCTCATCTTTGCATCCATTTCCAGGTCTCTGCTTTTCCTGATATCACTTTTCACTAAACTAAACAAAGCCAAAACTCACAAAGGCTTTTCAAGTTAAGTTTAAAAATTATCATTAGTGTTGTTATTCTTTGTATCCATCATAACTCTCGTGACCACTGACTGTTAAATTTGTCATTTTCTTTTCCCATTTACAGCTGTTGATTACTTCTGATAAAATATAAATGCTGTTTTTAATTGGCCTGTTTAAACATATTTATTATACTTTCTCTGGTGCCAAAATTATTTATCTTAATTGATTAAAATGTGGTAACGATTAGCATAAGATAACAAGTTCTCAAATGCCAAGTTGGGATTCTTGTTGAAAAATTGTATGTGTTTTCATAAGAAATGAGGAAGGATAACAGTTTTCAGTGGCTCAAAGAACTTTGTTTTACATAATCATTGTGAACAAAGCTCAACAGCCTGTCAGTCCTACCAGTGAGGACCAGCTCTGTCCCTTGACTCTCCTGTGATAGACACTCTTTCCCATACTGGACAGTTCCAGAAACAATGTGAAGAATATGTTAAGGAAGACCTAATCACTAAGAATTCCTTGACTCTTTCCTCATCTGTGAAATAGAAGTTTATGCATGATTATAAACCATGCCCACTGGCTACCCTCACCCCCATGAGATGTAAGTGTTCTAAGTGTTCTCGGTGAAAAACCCTGCAATTTTGTTTTAGATTCGAGGATGTTTACAGTATTGTCTTTTTAAAGAAGGAGTTTGATAAGCTTTTATTCTATATGCATTTTCCAATGTCAGTGTTTCTCCTTAAATTTCTTTTCCAGTTGTGTATCTGATTTTAAATTTTGTGAGCTTTTCCATTACTAAGTACAGCAAACAGGAATTCTGTGAAATAAATCCTCTGCACCTCAATTTTTACATGCATGGCTGTATAATTAATAACTTCCAACAATATCTCATGTAAATACAAGCTAACCATAGTGTCTGTCTTTTTAGCATCAACCTTATAAAAAAGCTAAAAAGATTTCCACGTCTTCAGTTGACATTACTAATTTGTCTCTTATTTTAAATAAAACTTTGTGTAATTTTTTTAATTTAATTCCAGATACTGATGGAGTTTCCTAAAATTGTAACTGTACAGCCACAAAAAATTGCAGTAGTTGCAGAAAATAAGCCAAGACTGAAGAGAACTGAACCAAATGTCTGCTTTGATAGCAGCAGCACGCAGTGTTCTGGAAAAGATACCATTCTTTTTAAGCTTGAAACTGCACAAGAAATTGACAGAAAACAGCAACAGGACAGTGACCTCTCTGTGCAAATGCTGAAAGATTTTCTTGAGGATGATGACACAAATCAGTACTTTTTACCACCAAAGTTATTGCTGCGCTACGCTCTTGTACTGGATATTGTTAAGCCCACGTCCCGAAGGTCCACCTGCTTTACCAAAGGGTAAGTTTGAAAGAGACCTCCTCCGTGTTGATGTAAAATAATCATGTTTCATAGCTAGTCTTTTAGTCTTCTCAGAACAAGAAGTGGTTGAGAAAGTGTTTCTTCTCGGGTGACTTTTCCCTGATTAGAGCCGGAGTGATCCCTCCTGTGCAGAGCATGCTGTGCACCACCCACAGTGCTCATGGAGCACAAGGCCATTCGTGGACAACCCATGTACAGCTCAGGGACTCATATTAACATGATCTCTGTAGTTTGTGAATGTAATATTGTCACTTTTCTTTTTCTGCCAGACACATCAAACCTCAAGAGTAATGCTTACTGGTGTACTTAAAAGATTACATATTAGGTGTACAGACTTTAATAGGTTCATCCTATATTATATGTCTGTATGAGTGAGAATATACCCTGAGTGTCTTTCTGCTTCTGGGATAGCTCACTTAGGATGATTTACCTGCAAATTTCATGATTTCCTTGTTTTTCATTGCTGAGTAATATTCCATTGTGTAGATGTACTATAATTTCTGTATCCATTCTTTATTTGAGGGACATCTGGGCTATTTCCAGCTTCTGGCTATTACAAATAGAGCTGCTACAAACATGGTTGAGCAAATGTCCTTATTGTGTACGTGTGCCTCTTTTGGATATATGCCTAGGAGTGGTGTAGCTGGATCTTGAGGAAGCACTATTCCTAGTTGTCTGAGAAAGCACCAGATTGATTTCCAGAGTGGTTGTACAAGTTTACATTCCCACCAGCAGTGGAGGTGGGTTCCCCTTTCTCCACATCCTCTCCAGCATGTGTTGTCACTTGAGTCTGTACACCTAAAGAAACTAATCAAGAGGGAGGACTCTGGCTAAAATGCTCAATCCCCATCCCTAAAGGCAAAGAGGATGGACATCAGAAGAAGAAGAAAACAGGAAACAACCTAGGAACCTGCCATAGAGGGCCTCTGAAAGGCTTTGCCTTGCAGAATATCAAAGCAGATGCTGAGACTTATGGCCAACTGTTGGGCAGAATACAGGGAAGCTTATGAAGGAAGTGGGAAACAGTAAGATCTGGAGAGAACAGGAGCTCCACAAGGAGAGGAATAGAACCAAAAAATGTGAGCACAGGGGTCTTTCCTGAGACTCATACTTTAACCAAGTACCCATGCATGGAGATAACCTAGAACTCCTGCACAGATGTAGGTCATGGCAGTTCAGTGTCCAAGTAGGTTCCAAAGTAATGGGAACAGGGACTGTCTCTGACTCAACTTATTGGCCTGCTCTTTGATCACCTCCCCCTGATGGGGGAGCAGCTTACCAGGCCACAGAGGAAGACAATGCAACCACTCCTGCTGAGATCTGATAGACTAGGATCAGAAGGAAGAAGAGGAGGACTTCCCCTATCAGTGGACTTGGGGAGGGGCATTCGTGGAGAAGGGGGAGGGAAGGTGGGATTGGGAGGGTAGGACAGTGGGGTTTATGGGGGATACAAAGTGAATAAAGTGTAATTATTAAAAATTAAAATAAAAATATTAAATTAAAAAAGATTACATTTTAATCTAAAGAAGTAAAATTGAGTCATCCAGGTACAATTTCCATCCCTGATCTTAAGCTGTACTATAGAGCAACAGTTATAAAAACTGCATGGTACTGGCATAGAAACAGAATGGTAGATCAGTGGAACCAAACAGAAGACCCAGAAATAAACCCACACACTTATGGACACCTGATCTTTGACAACAATGCCAAAACCATACAATGGAAAAAAGATCGCATCTCCAACAAATGCTGTTGGTCTAACTGGATGTCTACATGTAGAAAAATGCAAATAGATCCATACTTATCACCCTGCACAAAACTAAAGTCCAAGTGGATCAGAGACCTCAATATAAAACCAGACACACTAAACGGCTTAGAAGAAAAAGTGGGGAAGAGCCTTGAACTCATTGGCACAGGAGACAACTTCCTAAACAGAACACCAACAGCACAGGCTCTAAGAGCAACAATCAATAAATGGGACCTCATGAAACTGAAAAGCTTCTGTAAAGCAAAGGACACTGTCATCAAAACAAAACGACTGCCTACAGATTGGGAAAGAATCTTCAGCAACCCTTTATCTGACAGAGGGCTAATACCCAGTAGATATAAAGAACTAAAGAAGCTGAAAAGCAGCAAATCAAGTAATCCAATTAAAAAATGGGGAACAGAGCTAAACAGAATTCTCTGTAGAGGAATATCGAATGGCAGAGAAACATTTAAAGAAATGCTCAACCTCATTAGCCGTCAGGGAAATGCAAATCAAAACAACCCTGAGATTTCACCTTACACCCATCAGAATGGCTAAAATCAAAAACTCAAGTGACAATACATGTTGGAGAGGTTGTGGAGAAAGGGGAACCTGTTGGTATAATGTTCTTTTAAAATGTATATGCCTTACCCTTGATAATTCAAATGCTGATTTCCCCACCCCCAACTCTCTGGTTTCAATCTGGATATTGCATTGTGATACTTATTATAAGCATCCTGTCTCAATTCTTGTGTAAACAGGACAAAATAAAGCAACTAGATGCAATGTTGTGCAATGGGAGAAGCCTGAGGACAGGAAAGAGGGGAGGAGGGAGAGAGCAGGAGATGAGTGGGAGGAGAAGGGGTTATCAGAGAATGAGGAGAACAGAGCTGCAGGAGAGATCTTGGAGGATGTGGAGCATGAACCAGACCTAAGATTTCACAAAAAGCAAGTATAATGTGGGAAATCTAAATGTTAGGAAACTGAGGGCTTGGAGGTTTAGGAGGGAGTAAATATTGCCCAGCATTGTGTTCTAGGTTAACCACAAACCCAGTCTCTGTGTGGTGATTTGGTTATACAGCTGTTTAAGATTAACAGCAAGCATTACCAGAAGATAAACCCATAGTAAATTTTAATAACCTCCTACAACAGGAACCCTCCTCCACTGCTGGTGGGAATGTAAACTTGTACAACCACTCTGGAAATTAATTTGGCGCTTTTTCAGACAAATAGGAATAGCGCTTCCACAAGATCCAGCCATATCACTCCTAGGCATATTCCAAAAGAGGCTCAAGTACACAATAAGGACATTTGCTCAACCATGTTTGTAGCAGCCTTATTTGTAATAGCCAGAAGCTGGAAATAGCCCAGATGCCCCTCAACTGAAGAATGGATGCAGAAATTGTGGTGCATCTACACTATGGAGTATTATTCTGCAATGAAAAACAAGGAAATCATGAAATTTGCAGGTAAATGGTGCGAACTGGAAAGGATCATCCTGAGTGAGCTGTCCCAGAAGCAGAAAGACACACACGGTATATACTCACTCATATAGACATATAACATAGAATAAACCTACCAAAATCTGTACATCTAAACAAACTAATCAAGAGAGAGGACCCTGACTAAAACGCTCAATCCCCATCCTGAAAGGCAAAGGGGATAGACATCAGAAGAAGAAGAAAACAGGAAACAACCTAGGAACCTGCCACAGAGGGGCCTCTGAAAGGCTCTGCCCTGCAGACTATCAAAGCAGACTCTGAGACTTATGGCCAACCGTTGGGCAGAGTGAATGGAATCTTATGTAAGAAGTGGGAAATAGTAAGATCTGGAGACGACAGGAACCCCACAAGGAGAGCAACAGAACCAGAAAATTTGAACACAGGTTTCTTCCCAGAGACTCATACTCCAACCAAGTACCAGGCATGGAGATATCCTAGAACCCCTGCACAGATGTAGTCCATGGCAGTTTAGTGTCTGAATGGGTTACATAGTAATGGGAAGAGAGACTGCCTCTGACATAATCTGATTGGCCTGCTCTTTGATCACCTCCCCCTGAGGGGGGATCAGCCTTACCAGGCCACAGAAGATGACAGTGCAGCCACTTCTGATGTGATCTGATAGACTTAGATCAGAAGGAAGGAGAGGAGGACCTCCCCTATCAGTGGACTTGGGGAGGGGCATGTGTGAAGAAGAGGGAGAGAGGGTAGGACAGGGAGGGGAGGAGGGAGGGGCTTATGGGGGGATACAAAGTGAATAAAGTGTAATTAATTAAAAAAAATTAAAACTCATTTAGGGTTTTAAACAACTAATGTATTCTCATGTTCCCAAATTTGAAAGTTACTGAGATTATAAAATCCCTACTATATTTTTCTCTTGGTGTCTGTTGTTACCAGCCTGTGATACCAATAGACTGCATGGCTTTTCAAAGGAGTTGTTAATACTGCTTGCCAGAATGACCATAAAAGAATCTTTTCTGATCATAGGTTCAAATCCCCCTACTCCTAAGGTCCAGCCAAAACCTGAGGTATGATTCTCCAGAGCTTAAACTTGGAACCAATGCATTTATAGGGCCTCCCTCCAGACTGTAGGTGAGGGGTTACTTACAGGGGTGTGGGTGCTCCCCCCTCCCCCAGCAGGCTGCACCTGGAAAGTCCTATCCAGTAGGAATGATGGCTTGCCTGTGTATGCACAAATGGCGGACCCTTCATCTAGTCTTCCCTGCCCTAGCCCCTCCCCTACGCCACGTGCAGTTAAGTAGGAAGCAGCTGAATACTCAGGTGAAGCCTGTGACCCTGTCATTCCTCCATGAAGGGCAAAACAGTCAATAGGCCCAGCTGGGGTAACCTTTTGTGAAAAGCACAGGGAAGTATCTAAAATGGTGTCTGTTGGCTTGGAAGATAGTCACTCATAATCTTCTTTGGATATTGTTGCTATGTTAATATGAAAATTATTTTTATGTATATGGTAAAAGAGGATCATAATTTATTTTATTGGTTACCTATTGTTGAACATTTAGGGTTTTGCTCTGGGTTGTTTCTTGACTTATGACAATTTTTTGACTATTTTTTTAAGCTTAAAATAATGGGGAAAATTGTGCTTTTTTTTAGGAAAAATAAAGTTTAAGAACCTATCTCTAATTTGTGCATGCTCTTTGACTTCATTCACTAGGTAGGCAGTGTGTGATGAGACAAATCAAACCTTTGTTTTTTGCATGCTAGTTTTCTGTCTGTAGAGAAGGTACTGCTGTCCGACAGCCATAAAGACTCTCTGCTTTAACGATCTGCCTGTGTGCGTCTAGGAGAAAGGAGTTATTACTGTAAAGACTCTCCTCAGCTGCTGTCCATTACCAAGTCTAATAGGTTCTGTTTAGGACCCTCATGAAATAACTTATCAATTCTGTAATAAAAAGCAACCTTGATATTCTTTATAGTAAAGATGACATAAAGGAAATCTGGCTATGGCAGTCTCTTCTGCTAAAGATGGCACGCACAGCCATTCACACACTCTCATGGGAGAGCACACACACCACTCACACATACTCATGTGTATGCACACACATGCAGAGCACATGTAAATATAGCTAGGCATGGTGGTTTGCACTTGTGATCTCAGCTCTGGGGAAGTGAGTCAGGCAGATCCCTGGGCCTTGCTGGCTGGCCAGCTTCACCTATTTGGTGTGTTGACACCAGTGAGAGAGCCTGCCTCCAAAAAACACTGGACTGTGCTCTAAGGTTGGACACCCAGGGTTGTCCTGCCCCCCCCAACATGCACACATATGCACATCTGCATACACATAAACAGACACACACACTCACACATGAATACATACACATACAAAGGAATATATATATATATATATATTTAATTTGGCATTAAATACATCAGGTGTTACATAATTCTCATGTTACTTTTCAGCTATGGAAGCTACATAGAAGGGACAGGCTCTGTGCTGCAGACTGCGGAGGATGTGCAGGTATCGTGTATGTTTTCAAACTAAAGCTTTCTGTTCAGTAACACTACTTTTAATATTTAATTTAAGAATAGTAAAATAACTTTAAACGTTCAACTGAAAGTGGCTATATATGTTACTTATACACACATACACAATTTATTTTCTGTGAAGTGATTCTTTTACTTTTTATTTTCCTGTTAGCATTATGAAGTAAAATGACTTTGTTAGTTGGCTCAGTTTCCTATATCTTTTTATAATTTTCTAACATATATTACTGATATGTCTTAGTTTTAAGGGGTCACAAATGACGATAAACTGAAAATGATCCTGTTCTGTTTAATGTGAGTCTTTTCTTGTTCCTAGTCTGTTGCCACTGTTGAACCAATCATACAGCTGTTGCACAGAAATACTGTGCTTATACATTCTGCTGCTGTGCGGCACAGCACATTGCTTGTCCACTGCTCTTGAACTGACTTCAAACTGGAAAGCTTGAGTCTGGTCCTACAGGATTTTTTAATTTCTCTTGTTTTTTTTTTTTTTTTTTTTTTTTTAACAGATTGAAAGTATCTATAAATCTCTTACTGATTTGCCGCCAGAAGAAAAGATAGCTAAGTTGTCAATGCTTAAGCTGCGGTATTTCACACCTAAAGAAATTGCAAATCTCCAGGGATTTCCTCCAGAATTTGGTATGTGAGAATAATGTAGATCACAGCTTTCCTTCATTAAAGGTCTCAGCATTTCATTAGGAACACATATGTGTTTTATAAATGAATCCATGCAATTCAAAAACAGGTGAGTTTTTGAATTCTTCTTCCTTTCTGCTGTAACTTCTGGATTTTTCCTGACTTGTCTTCACTTCAATCACATCTCAGTCAATTCCCTTCTGACCTTATTTTTCTTTCTTTTTTTAATTTTAATTTTTTCTTCACAGTTTATTCATTATATATCCCGACTGAAGCCCCTCCCTCAACTTCCCCTGTCCCACCCTCTCCCCCACTTCTCCCCATCTCCTTCCCCTAGTCCACTGTAACAGGGAGTTCACCACCATTGCCATCTGCACATAGCTTGTTAAGTCTTGGCCTTCTTGTAAGAACAGTAGTGAGTTGGAGTCCACTTAGGTTGGGGGGGGGGGGACAAAATTGAAAGGGGAATCCCCTCAGTTGACTCATTTTGTTGTTGTTTTTATTAACCCAGAGCCTCAAGTGGGCTACATCAAGCTACATTCCCCCAGCCCTTCCCTTTGTATTTCTTTTTATATTGAGACAGATTTTTTTTAGTTGACCAGGCTAGTCATGAGCCTAGCCCAGGTGGTCCTTGAACTCAAGATCCTTCTGCCTCAGCCCCCTCCATAGTTGAGAATATAGGCTCAACTGGCTTCTTCAACATAAGGTAAAGGGTAGCTGAGTTAACTAGTTGTTGGGCAAGGGTTGTATTTGTGGTTGTTTTTCACTTTGGCAAAGATAAGTTATCACATATTTGCCTTGCTCTCCACTTTAAGGAATGTAAGGGGCATTCAATAACAGGGGATTTCACAAACACAAGCAAAGATAGAGGGAAGGCAAAGTCCTCACTCTACCTTAGTGCAGGAAATCCAGGGATTAAACCCATGAAGCTTGGACACTGCCCTGTGTGCTTGCAGAAGGCCAAGCTTCCCCTGGTTCCATTGCCACCAGCACTCGTAGCTCTGAGAGATGCACCTGGCTAGATAGGCAAAGGGAAAAACAGACCTACCCAGCATGCTTCCTGGGTAAGGAGAAGATCTGCCTTTGAGAACCCTGCTTGAGCATTTGAGTATAGAAGGGGAACATTATTATATCCGCTTGCAATATTGATGCATGTTTGTGAGGTGAAGAATGGGTGAAAGAGGTTGTGTTTCAGATTCTAAATAATAAATCTTTAGATGAGGTCTTGGAATACAGTTCTGTATGCTGACAACAAGTTGACCATTTCACTTAACTATTCTTGCTATTTGCTTCTGTGAACCTAACAGCAACCAGTTTTATTTTCTACTCTCTCTCCTTTTAAAAATTTATCATTATTGAAGTTTGTACTCATATATTTAGGTATTTTTATATGTATGTATGTCTGTGCATGTGTGTACGAATGTATGTGTTTGTGTGAATAATATTTCAAAAATAGAGACCATAACTTTGAGAGGGAGCAGGGGTGGTGGCATAGAAGAGATTGGAGGGAGAAAAGGGAAATTCTGTAATTGTATTCTATTTTTTTAAAAGATTTATTTATTTATTTATTATATAGACTATGTTCTGTCTGCATGTACACTCAGAAGAGGGCACCAGATCTCATTTTAGATAGTTGTGAGCCACCATGTGGTTGCTAGGAATTGAACTCAGGACCTCTAGAAGAACAGACAGTGCTCTTAACCTCTGAGCCATCTCTCCAGCCTGTATTCTATTTTTTTAATTCAAAAAAGAAAAGTTAACTTTTTCTTTTTTCCTTTTTGGTCATCTTATTCAGTATTCAATGTTTTAGAAATTATTACTGAAGAAAGGCACAGACTTTATATTGTCTTAGTTTATGTCACAAAGTGAGAAAATTGTAGAAAAAGAGCTGAGTGTTAGTTTCTAGTCTGCTTTTAGTTTCTAGTCTGCTTTTCTAGTTATTATTCTTTTTTTTTATTTTGGACAATCAAATATACTGTACACGGTGCTGAAGAGAAAAGCTGTGGATTGTCTAATCGAAATGGATTCCTAAGGCTCAGTCTACTGATTATTTTACATCTAGACTTGTAGTCACTGTGGTCATATTGAAACTTGGTAACGGGTACAGAGGGGAGACGAGACTCAGACCAAGCTAGAGTCTTTGCTTGTTCTACCTTATATTGACTTTTTGGTTTTAGTTTACTTGTTTGTAAAATGTGGATAATTATAATACTTATTCTATGAGGTATTAGAACAATTGAGTGAGTTGGTCTATTTAAATGCTTATATATTATCCTAGACAAGAAAATGTGGATTTTTAAATTATAGAGAAATAACTTAAAAGTATTACATTTGTTTGTTTGTATGTTTGTTTGGTGTGTGTGTGCACGCATGTGTATTGGTCAAAGGCTACCTTGGAGGAGCTAGTTCTCTCTTATGGGTCCCATGAAACCATGGCACTGAACCATATTGGTAGACCCTAGAAATGGGTAATTTTTGTTTTATAATTTTCATAAATACTTCTTCTGTTTTAAATTTTGAGGTGAGTAAATAGAATTTCTTGAGGTTCTTCAAATATATATATGTAAAAAATATATATGAAGAGTTTTTTTAATTTTTCCTTTTTTCTTTCTATTTTTTCTTTTAATTTTTATTAATTATACTTTATTCACTTTGTATCCCCCCGTGGCCCCTCCCACCTCCCTTCCCAATCTCATCCTTCCTCCCCTTTCTCCAAACATGCCCCTCTCCAAGTCCACTGATAGGGGAGGTCTTTCTCTCCCATCCTAGTCTGTTAGGTCTCTTCAGGAGTGGCTGTATTGTCTTCCTCTGTGCCCTGGTAAGGTTGCTCTCCCTCACGGGGAGGTGATCAAAGAGCAGGCCAATCAGTTCATGTCAGAGACAGTCCCTGTTCCCATTACTATGGAACCCACTTGGACTGAACTGCCATGGCCAACATCTGTTCAGAGGTTCTAGGTTATCTCCATGAATAGTCCTTGGTTGGAGTATCAGTCTCAGAAAAGAGCCCTGTGCCCAGAATTTTTGGTTCTGTTGCTGTCCTTGTGGAGCTCCTGTCTGCTCCAGGTCTTATAATTTCCTACTTCTTTCATGAAATTCCCCGCTCTCTGCCCAAAGGTTGGCCATAAGTCTCAGCATCTGCTTTGATACCCTACAGGGTAGAGCCTTTAAGAAACTAATCAAGAAGGAAGACTCTGGCTAAATGATCAAACCCCATACAGAAAGGCAAGGAAAATGGACATCAGAAGAGGGAGAAAACGGAACAGGACAGGAGCCTGCCACAGAGGGCCTCTGAAAGAGTCTTTTAATTTTTAATTCATTTATTTTTTAAACCTTTTGAGTAAAACACATTTCCTCCTTCCATTTTATCATTTTTGTTATTGTTGTGTATTTTAAATTGCTGAATGCTCGTTTGAAATATATGTTATGCTTGTGTTGACAGTCTTACCCAGATGTAACCATAGACACATGGCACAACTGTCCTTCATTTGTGTTTCTAGCATTATTGGCTGTGGGTACAAAAATGGACAATGTCTGTGCCGTTTGTCCCCTGACAATAATAGATTCATATTGATCTGTCTGTTCATTTTATCCTGGTGTCTCGTGACTGAAAACTTTCATGTGTGTGACCAGCTGGCTTTGGGAGAGAAATACCAATCTTTGCTGGGAGAAATCTGCTCTCTTGACCTTGTGTTTTCTATGTGACTTTGTTTTTGAAGACTATCATTAATTTAATTTTTCTAAATTTATTAAAAACTATATAATTTTTCCATTACTTAGTTTAAACTTTAATATCTGAATAAAATAAAATTCGGTTTCTAAACTCACCTTTTCCTTTAGTGTAGTCTTAATATTGCAAAGGGTCATTTCCTAGGATAGTGTAAAGTGTTATCTGTAAACACGTTTACAGTCCTGTTTATTTGCAACTAAATAGTGTTTGAGATTAGTAATGTGCTTGCCTGTGGCTTACTATCTTTAAGATATAAGCTTCACAACCATGCTAAATTGCAGATGACAGCTTTATTACAGTAATTATGTTATCTTTTTGCAGTCAATGTAGAGTCTAGTATTGGTAAAGCGACTTTACCTAATGGTTCTTCATTACAAATGTATGAAATTGTACAGTTCATAGGGGTCTTTAATTATTTCCTTTATCTTGTTTTATTTTATTTTATTTTATTTTTTGCTTCACTTGTTATTTCAAAGCACATTGGATGTGACTAAATCAGATAGGAGAAAATCAGTTTATGGAAGCAAACTGTAAAAACCAGCTATATACAGAATATATTAAGAACTCTTATAACTCAAGAATAAAAAGAAAATAATCCAACATAAAAAATGTAAAAATTATCTGAGTATACATTTCTTCAAAGAAAATAGGCAGATAGTCAATAAACACATGAAAAGTTACTAGAGAAATTAGTTACTAGAGAAACATAAAACCACAGTGCAATATTACTTCATACCCACCAGAGGTATGAAGTAATAAATAAAATCTAACATCTCTACAAACATTAAACAACCTTTAGATACATATCCAAGAAAAAACTTCCATAATATCTATGTATTATTATATATAATATCCCAAAGTGGAAATAACTCACATGTTTACCAGGTAATGAATGGATAAATATGTATTAAAATTAAAATATTATTAAGTAATAAAAAATAAGTACTGGAATTTGCTATAATGTGAATGAAACGTGATAATTGTAAAAAGGCAGACATAAAACATATCATTTGATTCCATTTCTATGACGTTAGAATAGCTAAATCTGTAGCAATAGTGGTTGGGGATGGACAAAGAGAAGGAACTGTTGATGGGTGTAGCAGTTTGCTACTTTGTGGGTTCCTTTCTCTCTTCCACCGCTTTACTTCCTTTTCAATCTCCTAACACTAGATAAGAAAGAAAAAAGGATAGAGGGGAAAGTGGGCATCATTATTGTTAGACAAATTACTGCTGATTAGGGGCTTGAGTTCCTTGGGACAAGTTTGATCCTCACCATCAGGATATCTAATTTCTCCTTGTTTCTTTGCTACTTAACGAACTGCAACCGACAACATCCAGCCACCAGCCAGCCACCACCTATTAGGGCTCTAGCATTTCTATGTCCTCTGAGAGACCTCAGATTCCAGATGTCACACACTTGCAGAAACTGTCTGCAACTGGCAAAACCACACTCCTGCCGCAGCATGAGGCAAATCATAGTCAGCTGGTTGAAAGCATTCCCATATTCCCACACCTGGGATTAAAACAAAAACATATTCACATAATATTTCTGTGTTTTTTTTAAAGATTTATTTATTTATTATGTCTACAGTGTTCTGCCTGCATATGTGCCTGCATACCAGAAGAGGGCACCAGATCTCATTGTAGGTGGTTGTGAGCCACCATGTGGTTGCTGGGAATCGAACTCAGGACCTTTGGAAGAGCAGCCAGTGCTCTTAACCTCTGAGCCATCTCTCCAGCCCCATTTCTATGTTTTTTAAAGAAACCAAAATTCTCACAATTTTTTTTTAATTTTGAAGTAATGAAATGGTGTTTGAGAACTCTATCCTAAAATGCATAAACCATATACTTTAAAAAGGTAAATTTTGTGGTATGTAAAGTAGAGCTCTATAAAAGTGTTGTTAAATAAAAGAAGCTAGCAAGAAAAATAGTAGCAACCACTTTTCTAAAGTGTATTAACAAATATGTTTTTGTGAACTCTGCAAGTACGTGTTTGCATTAACCGTACTCTGATATTATGTGATATAATTATATTATACAGCACCTCATTGTATTAGCATTATAGAATATATTATACCGTACTTTGGCCTCCAAATTCTCATTTATTAGTACAACTTCATGGTCATATTGGCAATTTACCATCTTTTGTGTTTTAACAATGGGTATATTTTCTGGAAATTGTGTCCCTAGGCAGTTTCATCATTGTGTGAGCATCATAGGTTATACTGTCACAAATCCAACTGCAGTGTCTCACGGTGACACATTGTAGACACCCTCCATATGGGTAAGACCTTCACTGACCGTGACGCTGTCGAGAAGCGTGAATGTGTTTATAAAATAACCATCGTGCTTTTACTAAAGGGATCTTCTATTTCTGGAAATCAGGATTGCAAGTGATTATATTGTAAAAGCCACCTCTGTTTTCTAGGATTTCCCGAGAAGATAACAGTGAAGCAGCGGTACCGTCTGCTCGGCAACAGCCTCAACGTGCATGTAGTAGCAAACCTCCTCACAGTCCTGTGTGGATGATTTGAAAATACCTCTGAGAGGTGTCAGCATTCCTCAAATTCTAGACAATAATTCTAAAATTCAATTTTGAATTAATTCATATGAAATGTAACTAAATTATTTTAGTAGCATTTTAGTGGGAAATTGGGAAGTTATTTGGTACATATCAACCTGTGGCTAAACAGGTCATGGGCCCTAGGGGGTAACTGACCACCATTACTGCTAAATGGACATAGTATTACACGCTTCATGATGATTTATTGTTATAGCATAGATTAGTGTTTCCCTAAATGTTCATCAAGTAAGTTTCTTGCAGTAGGTGGCAATACAAAAACATATTAAATTTATGTTGCTGTATCCCATAAACTTCACTTTACTGTTTTGCTTTATGAGCAAATATTTTTATAAAGGTTTAAAACATCTATATTAAATATCTTTCATATATGCTATAAACAGATTTAAGAATGTTTGAATTTTATATCTATAATTGTACTTTATAAGTATGACATGAATAGTATAATAATCCTTAGGAAATAATCTTTGTGTGTTAAATTAAAAATTGTTTTATATAACACGGAGAAACAACTGGGTATGGGCCTGGAAGCTTCAGCCCTTCTGGCCAGCTTTCATAGTGCTAGAAGGTGCTATCCATGTATTGGAAGAAAAAAATAGTCATTCTTCTTTACTAGCTTCAAACCTGGTAAGTCACAATAAAGCCTATCCTGTTAAGATATGTCCATGAATGTTATGATTTGATTTAAGGCCTGATCAATGAGATGGAACCCATACTTGGCACTATTACCTGGTTCAAAAACCTGTGGCTAGACAGATCATGAATCCTAGTAGGTAACCTACTACCATTATTCTGCTAAATGGACATAGTATTAAATGATTCCTAATGATTTGTTGTAATACCATAGATTAGTGTTTCTCTCGGCATTCATCGGGTAAGCTTCTTACAGTAGATGGCAATACAGAAACCCAAAACTTGTTAACATGCAGAAAGTGCGAGACTGTGGGGTGCTCAGTCCTAAATGGGACATACTCTCAGTGTCCTCCTTGCCAAGGCTCTGTGGTCATTACAGAAGAGGGAGCAAAAGAGTGTAGGAGCCCTTTAAGAAGATAGTGTTTTTCAGGCACAGCAGGACAGAAGCTAGGTAAGCTTTCTGATGGCCTGGACCAGTCTGGCTGTAACTCAGAGGAATCTGTCCAGAGTGCCAGAATGAAAGGACAGTACTCAACCTGGCTTCCTCTTTAATCTGATTCTGAAGATAAAAACGCATTGTTCTGTCTTCATTTGCACATACTTCCTTTTAGTTTGCTATTACCAGAGTGCTTTTTTTTTCTTTATCAGCCTTTGGATTAAATTTGTCTGTTGTTACATTTTAAGAAATATGGCATGGCTTATGTGCCCTTAGGGTTATATTGTTGCTATTTCTATATGGTACTACACCATCCTTTATTGTATTGACTGTCTCCAGTCAGTGTTTCATGGCATTGGTAAATGATGGATAAAATGTGTTCAGACATATACTGGAATGTCAGTGTTAACTGGAAGGAGTTTATGATACATGTCATGACCTGTGTGAGCCTTGGGAAACTGCTAATGAAAGAAGCCGATTATGAAAAGACTAATGTGATTTTATTCCACTGTGAGTCATAGAGACAGGAATTAGGGCAATGTTTGCCAGGGGTCAGCAGGAGGGACACTAGGGAGTTAGTGTTTAGCAGGCACAGAGTTTCTCTTTGGGAAGATGAGCAGGTTCTGAAAGTGGGTGGCGTTGACGGTTGGACATTGTGAATGTGCTTCGTGCCCCCAAACTGTACCCTCAAAACCTGTTGAGTCGCTAATTTTATTTTATTTATATCATGCTGAAATTTTTAAAATTACTTTTTCTGAACTCAGGTAAATATGGGTATATCAAAGCTATAAGCTATATATGTATCAACAGTCACATTTTATCTATGTGTTTAAAGATGAACCTCATTAAAGTACAATCTGAGATTATTGTGATACACTTTCATGTAGGCGATCTTCACTGCTAAAAAATTCTTATCAAGAACATGGTTTACAGCTTAACTGTACTATATATGCTTACAATTATGTTGTAGTTATAAGGTCCAATGTCTCATGGAACAGTATTATAAGTGCTGAGTTAGATTGTCACAACTATGAACACATTCGATAGGTCTAGAGAGCATTTACTTATTTACCATTTACTTGGGAAACAAAATATGGCTTTATAAAAATTTTAAGGGGCTGAGAGGTGGTCAGCAGTTAGCAGCATTCACTGTTCTTGCCAAGGATTAGGGTTTTATTCCCGCCACATATGTACCGTGTTATGTAATTCTAAGGTACTTATTCCTTGCCTCATAATTTAGATGCTTCAGAGGCCCCAAACTAACGAATAGATACAACATAATTAATACAAACAAGATGGTTTATATTGGAAAATAATTTGGAAGATGGGTAGTCATCATAGAAGTGAGCGCTTGGACCATCTTTAGTGGCAGCCAGTAAAGTCCAGGGATGGAAGGGGAGGGAATGTGTTACCTCTTCCTGTGGGATCAGCTGACCTTCTCCAGAGGCCCTAACACATTGAGTTCTGGCTATTAAAGCAGAGCTGCAAGTCCCCTTGCCTTGCAAAGTGAGCAGAGAAATACCTGCAGCTGCCAGCCAACTTGCTCTCCTCAGCAGCTGGGGCCTTTGAAAGAAACTCACAGTTGTACTAATTAATGATGAGGGCTTACCCAGGGCTAAAAATGTTAGGATAAACTATTGTTTGAAATTTTCCACTTCCTTCTTCCCCTCCTTCCTTTTCTCTCCCCTCTCCCGAACCTCCTTTCCTTTTTGAGCCTATCTCATGTAGTTGAAACTAACCCCAAGCTTGCAGTGTACCTGAGAGTGATCTTGAACTTTTGATTCTTCTGTCACCATGCCTGGATGTTGGTGTTACAAGGTATATACTACCACAGCTGGTTTATGTGGTGTGGAGGTTGTGCCTAGTCGATAGCATGACAATTTGGCTTTTTAAAGAGGCAAATTTAGTTGATGGAGAAGCTTTTCAGTTGCCCTAACAGCCTGTACCCCTACTAAGCATCCATATAATGATGGGTGGTGCTGAGCCCAATGCAGACAACTGTAGGTCCTCTTCCCCTATCTGACCCTAGCCTATCAGGTCTCAGTAGGGCTGGCTGCACTGACTTCCTCTGTGGTCTGGCAAGACTACACCCCCAGGGGGAGGTAATCTGAGTTTATGTCAGAGATAGCCCCTGCTCCCCTTTATAGGAAACCCACTTGGTGACTGAGCTGCCTGTGGGCTACATTGGAGTAGGGGGTCTAGGTTATCTCCATGAATGGTCCTTGGTTGGATCATCGATCTCGGCAGGCCCAGGGTTTTTTTGTTGTTGTTGTTGTTGTTTGTTTTGTTTTGTTTTTTGGTTCTATTGCTCTCCTTGTGGCACTCTTGTCCCCTCCAGAACTTTCTATCTCCCCCTTCTTCCATAAGGTTCCCTGCACTCTGCCCAAAGTTTGGCTAAGAGTCTCAGCATCTGCTTCCGTACCCTACTGGGTACAACCACTTTGGAAATCAATCTGGTGCGTTCTCAGAAAATTAGGAATAGTGCTTCCTCAAGATCCAGCTATACCACTCCTAGGCATATACCTGAAATATGTTCAACTATACAATGAGGACTATGTCCATATATCCATAGCAGGTTTATTGGTAATAGCCAGAATCTGGAAACAACCTAGGTATTCCACAACCGAGGAATGGATACAGAAATTGTGCTACATTTATACAGTGGAATACTACTCAGCAATTAAAAACAAGGAAATCATGAAATTTGCAGGCAAATGGATGGAACTGGAAAAGATCTTTGTGAGTGAGATAACCCAACCCAGTAGCAGAAAGACACACATGGTATATACTCACTTATTAGTAGATATTAGCCATATAATATAGGACAAACATGCAAAAATCTATAATCCTAAAGAAGCTAAACAGCAAGAAAGACCCTAGGGAAGATGCTTAATCCTCATTCAGAAGGGCAAACAGGATAGACATCAAAGTGGGAGAAGACAGGGAACAGGACAGGAGACTACCACGGAGGGTAGGATTCTTTAAAAGAAATTACATCCTGTCTTTGGCTTAAATTTCAGCCTCATTCAGATCAACATGTTAGCTAGGGGAATTCTGAGGAGGGAGAATTCTGAAACTAAGGAGAATTAACACTGGTTTAGTTTGTTAGCTTACCACAGAATAAAGAAGCATTTACTGTTCAGCCTGCACTAGCATGATTGGTAATTCATTTTGCAGGTGAATCATTGAATCCCCAGCCAAACCAAAGAGATTCTGCTTGCTTTTTTGTTTTGGCAGCTTCATTATGTAAAATCAAGAGATTTCTACAAGCCAAGTCAAAACAACAAGGATCCAATTTTGAGCTCACATCAAGTATTTAAATGTTTTCATGTGTTGCTTGTGCTGTTTAACAGAAGCTTAACCTGTGCTGGAGTTGTATCTTAGTGACAGAGTGTGAGCTCAGCATCCTCAAAACAGTCTAAACTTCAGATTACACATGTGTGTGTACGTGTACACACACATACATGCGAAAAAGAGAAGGCAGTAGGAGATAAGAGAAGAATTTTCATGTAATTTGCTCTTCACTGAGGATAACCATGTAACTCTTAAGTGCCACTGTCCTCTGGCTGTGGACTTTGAGATGAGGTCACAGTCTGAGTGGTTTCTGGAAGGGTGTGAGTACACTTGTGTGGATTATTTTTAGACATGGCCTTTGGGCCCCTTTACCGGTTCAGCTTTTCTGTCAGCATTTACTGCCCGTGTGCACTGCATACAATCATCATGTGAACCTGGCAAGACTCCTGTTCTGGTTATTTTTTCCCATTCATCAGTTCTGTTTACCATATGCCTATAAGATGTTGTTTGGAAGAACTCTTCGCATGCTTTACTAGAGGACAATAAACATCCAGACATTTTTATTATCAGGTTCTAACAGCCAACCTGTTGCAAGCATTTTTCCTCTTCATCACTTTGCTACTAAAATTTTGAAGTTTCTAATAAAACAAATTTTCCCTGAGTATTTCTGTTTCTTTGGGACTTGTAGGATATTTTACTATAAGATATGTGTGTGCTTCAAAATATGTAATCACAATTCACACTGTATAATCTTTTTGTGAGATTTTAAAATTTAGTTGGTTAATTTACCTCATGGATTAAAATATTCAGCTGGATATGATGGCATACACCTTTAACTGTAGCACTAGAGAGGCAGAGGCAGATGGATTTCTGTGAGTTCTGGGACAACCTCAACTACTTGTTGAGTTCCAGGACAGCTAGGAGTATTTAGCGAGACCCTGTCTCAAAGGAAAAAAAAAATTCTTTAAATACACTATACGGACCTATAAAATAATAAATATCTGAAGAAAGTTATGCCCCTTAGTGCATATTAATTGCATCCCTATGACCTCTGTTAAAACTCAGGAGGCACAGGAATAGCGCTTCCTCAAGATCCAGCTATACCACTCCAAGGCATATATCCAAAAGAGGCTCAAGTACACAATAAGAACATTTGCTCAACCATGTTTGTAGCAGCTTTATTTGTAATAGCCAGAAGCTGGAAACAGCCCAGATGCCCCTCAACTGAAGAATGGATGCAGAAATTGTGGTATATCTACACAGTGGAATATTACTCAGCAATGAAAAATAAGGAAATCATGAAATTTGCAGGTAAATGGTGGGATCTGGAAAAGATCATCCTGAGTGAGCTATCCCAGAAGCAGAAAGATGCACACGGTATATACTCACTCATATAGACATATAACATAGGATAAACCTACTAAAATCTGTACACCTAAGGAAACTAATCAAGAGGAAGGACTCTTGCTAAAATGCTCAATCCCCATCCAGAAAGGTAAAGAGGGTGGACATCAGAAGAAGGAGAAAAGAGGGAACAAGTCAGGAACCTGACACAGAGCGCTTCTGAAAGGCTCTGCCCTGTAGACTATCAATGCCGGTGCTGAGACTTCTGGCCAACCTTTGGGCAGACTGCATGGAATCTTATGAAAGAAGTGGGAAACAGTAAGATCTGGAGAGGACAGGAACTCCACAAGGAGAGCAACAGAACCAAAAAAAATCTGAGCACAAGGGTCTTTGCTGAGACTGATACTCCAATCAAGGACCATGCATGGAGATAATCTAAGACCCCTGCACAGATGTACCTCATAGCAGTTCAGTATCCAAGTAGATTCCATAGTAATAGGAACAGGGACCGCCTGTGACATGAACTGATTGGCCTGCTCTTTAATTACCTCCCCCTGAGGGGGGAGCAGCATTACCAGGCCACAGAAGAAGACAAGGCAACCACTCCTGATTAGATCTAATTGACTAGGATCAGAAGGAAGGAAATGAAGACCTCCCCTATCAGTGGACTTGGGGAGGGACATATGTGCAGAGGGGGGAGGAAGGGAGTGATTGCGATGGGAGGAGGGAGGGAACCACAGGGGGGATACAAAGTGAATAAAGTGTAATTAATAAAGAATTTAAAAAAACTCAGGAGGCAGGCACCAGTCACTTGGAGATGAATATAAGTTCTTTCAGAAATCCTGCTTGAATTAGCATTCGCTCTTAAGGTGGAATCTGCTATGGCACCAACAGACCTTCAATGAGAGAAGGTTTATTCCTGTGGATTTCTGATAGGAAGCTGTCCTTGAACACAGTACCAGACAAGAGGATCCCTGTTATTAGAACCTCCACAGAGGCCCTGGGCAGAGTCCAGGCATTGCTGGGTGGTGTCTCAGCAGGACTTGATCCATACACAGGGCACGTATCAGCATTCCAGCCTACTTTATCAGAGAAACTTCATAGACTACCAGATAACCTTTAGATTTTAGGCAAAAGCATGATATTAAGAACTTTAAAGTTGTTCAATATATGCATCTTAATTAGATACACTATTTTTTGTTATTTTGTTTTTAATCTCATCT